CACACACACACACACACACACACACACACATATATATATAGAGAGAGCCTTCAGCTTTGTTCGGGTATTTTCCCACGTCATAGTAGTGGTGCTTTTAAAGTTGTAGCAACGTTTCAGCAGAATCTCATCTGCCATCATCAGGCTTCTGTGAAATCTTTTTTTAAGAATATAGTGTGTATTTTAAGAATGTACCAAGCAGAATTCGATTGGAAGTTATGTATTATATTGAATGTTATAATCTTGAAGGTATACATTGAAGCTTAAATAAGAGTTTGAATAGATAAAATTAAAAGATATAAAGGTGTCATACTCCAATTAGTAGGGAGAATTTGTTTAGTGAGAAAAGATAATATGAAATTGAAACAGGACAGACAAAAGTATAAATATAATGATTTGAATTGAGATGAGATAATTAAAATAAAGTTGAGAAAATTAAGAGGGGAAAAACTATGTAGAAAATATAAAACGGTAATAAGATATGGAAAACACAAAAATGAGCATGAAATTGAGTTTGTGTCTGTATGAAGAAGTGATAACCTGGGACCATGCTATTTTCAAAAAAAGATGTTTTATTTGTTTTATGGTTTTTTTTTGTGAAAACCCAAATAAAATTTTCAAAAAAAAACCCAACCTCCACCAGGTTTCTATGGGAACCTTCTAGGGTAGCTTTACTGAGGGTAGATCTACCTTCTATGTAGATCTATCTACCTTTCATGTAAATCTATCTACCTTTCATGTAGATCTATCTACATTCTATGTAGATCTATCTACCTTCCCTCAAATCTACGAGAAGGCTCTTTCGCGATGCCGAGAATGCCTGGGAGTTGTAGTCCAACCATGCGGCGAGTGTCCAATGGCTTGTAAGAGACGCGCCGGCGCTGGCAAGTGACGCCACATTTTCTGAGGCAGTCGCGCTGTGACGTCATCAGATGCGTCTCCGTGTCGCGGGGCATCTTGGGAGTGCTCTCCCTCGCGTTCCTTCTCTACCGGCGGCGTGAATCCTTCCTGCCCCGTTTCTTGCGCGGACGATGGCCGGTTTCCGCGCTTTAGGATTGGACCCCTGGCTGGCGTCTCAGGCGGAGCAGCTGGGCTTGTCGAGGCCCACCCCGGTGCAGGAAGCTTGCATCCCTCCCGCCCTGCAAGGTAAAGACCCAGAGAAAGACTTAGAGCAGAGGTCTCCAAACTTGGCAACTTTAAGAGTTGTGGACTTCAACTCCCAGAATTCCTCAGCCAGCTATGCTGGCTGTGGAATTCTGGGAGTTGAAGTCCACAGATCCTAAAGTTGCCAAGTTTGGAGACCCCTGACTTAGAATAACTTTATTGTCACTTTAAATATATACTAATCGGCATGTATTAAGATGAATTTTTGCTGTATACAGCTCTCAAAGGGTCACCACCCCCAATATACACTACAGAACATGACTAAATAAATAAAATAAAATAAATCCATAAAAATTATGCATATACTCACATATGTTATATGATACAGAGAAACAAGTCTAGTTCGGATGTATACATGTACATGACGAGGAAAACGAATCTTGCGAGTTGGCATAGGGGACAAAACTGTTACAGAATAGGGTAGTCCTGCTATAGATACTTTGAAACCTTCTCCCAGAGGGGACCAACAGAAACAGGCCGTGAAGTGGGTGGGTGGGGTCTCTAACAATGCTTATTTTGTTGTTCTCAGGTTCTGAGTACAATGACAATACATTTATCTTTATCTTAATCTTAATCTAAGCATATAGTGCTTATAAGCGGTATCCTGAATGACAGGAAGAGAGCTTCCTATAATCTTCTCCACTGTCCTCACCACTCTCTGTATGGACTTTCTATCTGAGGCGCTGCTGCCACCAAACCGAACAGGGGTGCAGTTTGTTAAAACGCTCTCAATCGTGCCTCTGTAAAAAAAAAAAGTAGCCAGGACAGAAGGAGAAAGAGGTGCTTTCCTCATCCAACGCAGGCGCCGGTTTGCACACTTCACTAAGGATGAAGTTTGGAGAGACCAATTCAAATTATTAGTTACCCGCACCCCCAGATACTTAATACTGTTGACCACCTCCACAGCTGCATCCTTGATACTGAGTGGAGTATGACCATGCGGGCTCTTTCTAAAATCGACAATGGTCTCCTTTGCTTTATTAACATTTAGAACCAGGTTACTTTGATTGCACCAGTCCGTCTGAGCCTCTACTTCTTCCCTATAAGCCTCTTCATTGTTGTCTTCACAATAGGATTCGTAGCAGATTTGACCCAGGAGTCGTATCTCCAGTGAAGGAATTGGAAGGCTCCCCAGACCTTTAGTGGTTTATGAGCTCTTCCCATAGTAGCCCACCCCCCAACATGCCAAACATGAACAATTACAGAGAGTCCTCAATTTACAACAGTCCATTTAGTGACCAAAGTTACAACGGCACTGAAAAAAAAGTGATTGATTACCATTTTTCACCCTTACGAGCAGCACCATGGCCAAGGGGTCAAAATTCGGCCGCTTGGCAGATACCTCTGACCACACACAAAATGCATCACAGCTTTGGCCTTTGCATTGACCTGTCCTCCTACATCTTGCTCCCATAGGTCGTGACTGCATGGGCTGCGCCAAAACTGGAAGTGGCAAGACAGCTGCCTTTGTGCTCCCCATCTTGCAGAAACTTTCTGAAGATCCTTTTGGCATCTTCTCCCTGGTGCTGACACCAACAAGGTAAGGGCAGGTATAGCTTGGGAAAGGACACTTAACCCCAAAGAAACGAATAGGTGAAGTCTTGGTTTGGTCTGTGCTTAAATGAGTTGCACAAAGCAAAGATTACTTGGGTATATCTAATTTAATGAAAAGGAGGACTAGGGATGACATGATAGCAGCGCTCCAGTATTTGAGAGGCTGCCACAACTTTAAGACTTATGGACTTCAACTCCCAGAATTCTCCAGCCAGCCAATTCTGGGAGTTGAAGTTCACAAGTCTTAAAAGTTGCCAAGTTTGGAGACCTCTGTGATAGTGAAACAGTTTGGAAACACTGAAGCATCCTCATGCTGGATTGTCTCTTACCTGCTACAGAATCAAGAAGGGAGAAGTCTGCTCTGCCCCTGCTAATAGCTTTAATTTTAATATTAAGTAAAGCAAAGGAACATGTCTAAATAAGATCTTATATTAAAGACAGCATGCTCCTTTGGGCCTTTAGATTATGCTAAGGAAAGATATGATAGCAGTCTTCAGATGCACAAAGGGATGTCACAAGAAAAAGGGAATAGGTGTATTCTTCATGGCACCTGATGGTAAGGCAAGCTTTATAACGAGAGGTCGCAATGTGAACTAAGGAGAAAATGTCTGATTGCAAGAGCTATTAAGCCGCAGAACAGGCTGCCTCTGTCAATTGTGAGTGCCCATCACTGGAGAGTTTTAAGAAAATAACAATAGCACTTAGACTTATATACCACTTCATGGTGCTTTACAGCCCTCTCTAAGCCGTTTATAGAGTCAGCATATTGCCCCCAGCAATCTGGATCCTCATTTTACCGACCTCAGAATGATGGAAAGCTGAGTCAGCCTTGAGCCGGTGAAAAGATTGAGCAGCCATTTACGCAGAGTAGAATGATACCTGCATTGGGCAGAGGGTTGGATTAGAAGACCTCAAGGTCCCTTCCAACCCAAGGATTCTGTGATTATGTTCCAGCCACGCACATATTGTCAGAAGATGCCTCAAAACTAAATAGGCATCTTGAGTGCTTGTATAAGCAGAAAGGTAGGATAGGATGTAGGATCCAATCTGGGTTGGACACCGGGACCAGAGGTTTTGTCTTCCAAGCTTTTGGGCTTGTGCTGAAGCCCATCATCCTCAGGGAACTTCTCTCTAGCACGAATCCTGAAAACTTGGAGGGCAAAACCTCTGTGGTCCCAGATTATCGACCCAGATTGGATCCTGCAACATTATCCTGGGATACCTATATTTGCCTTCGTTCAGGGGGAATATGAATTTAATATTGGTGAATTAAAGTGATAAATATTTTTAAAAGAACCTTTGCTTAACTCTTCTTCCTCCCTTTCTCTGCCAGAGAGCTGGCCTATCAGATTGCTGAGCAGTTCCGTGTCCTTGGGAAGCCTCTGGGTTTAAAGGACTGCATCATAGTCGGGGGAATGGGTACGTCAACTTTATTTGGAAACTCGTAATTCACCCCCTACCCTTAAACGAGCTATCTTAAACCCTGTGAGACTGCAGCAAATACCGGTATTTATTTGACCACTTCATACACTGGGATGAGATGCATAGCTCTTGTTTCGACCTAGGCTTCCCCAATAGCACAAAGCCGACTCCTCGTACTGATAAACCCCTTTTATTTAGTTTACAGTGAACTCCTGGCCAACAGTCTTTCAAGATATTTTACAATTACAGACCTTTATCAGGCTTGGAGAGTTGCCAGGCCGATATCTTTCAGATGCCACATTGTAGCAGACCAGTGTTCCCCAACCTTTTTTACGCCACGGCCCGGTATCCCCAACCTTTTTTATGGCGCGGCCCGGTACCGACATCAGCTGGGCGCCGCCATCTTGTTTTGATGA